GTTTTTCTTGCCAAAAAAAAAGATAATAATAATAATTTCAGTACATGTGTCAAATAAAAAAAATTAAAATAAAAAAAAAAAGGACCAAAAGGGCACATTGGGATCATGGAGCAAAAGGGGCAGGTGCTCAAGCCCCCTTAGCCCCCCCCTCTGCACGTGCCTGGTGTATATGTATTTTTGTTTTTATATACTGTAGGACCTGCTTGTCATCTTTGATTTCCATCACAGGCCAGTTAATTAAAAAAGGCCAGCCTATTTAAAAAAAAAAAAAAGGGCATTTTAACTAATCTCTTGTCTAAGCTTTATGAGCAGCTAAACAAAATCTTGATCACTTTTACTTTTTAACATGGATTTTAGATCATCCCAAAGATGATGGCCGGTTGATCCAAGCTCAATTCAAGGTGTCTTTACAGTCAGGGGGTCCCATAAACACACACACTGACAAAATGACAGGGCCAGTATTATCAAAAATTAATAAAAAAATCGGATTTGGAACTGAGTGCACAAACAGATAAGAACTTCAAAGACTTCAGGACTTGAACTGTTTTGATTAATACCAGCCAAAATACATTACAGTAAATACTGTGGGGACTCTTAATCTCGATCAACATATAGAGCATTACAATAGTTCACACAAGAGAGAGTTTAATTATGAAGAATTTGAAGTCTTTAAAAAGGAGGGTAAATCTTCACATAACTAATAACTTTCAACTTTTCTCCGTCTCTAAAAGAGCTGATGAGTACAACGCATGTGTTCTTTACAGCAGAGTAACCAAAAAGGTATGAAAAACTGAGGAAATTCACAAAGTTCTAATTTTCCCAGGTGTTGATTTGAGCTCAACTGACAGATTGGCTGCAAATTAAAAAGATATTTTCCCCAATTATACCGCGCAAAGGTAAAACAAAAGATAAATGGCATATGAACCAATATAGTGCCCTGTGGCATCCCAAAACTGAAGAGAAATAGTCCATTGAGAGGTCAGGAAAAAAATCTCCCTTTTAAGATATCTCTTTTAAACAAAGACAAATCTTTAGATTTTAACAGCCATAACAAACAGAAAAGGCCACTAAGGATGCATAGTTACCTCAGGTCACAGCTAATGTAAAGCTATTAAATGCTATTCATAAATTGACATTGACTGCTTTGAAAAGTATTTGATAACTTAAAGATTTATTCTGTTTTTGCTTTTTTGTCACTCTTAAATGTTTCAGTTCATGCAACTTATTTTAATATGAAGCAAAAAAGAGCATGATTAAAGAGAAGAAATTTAGGTTTAAAATAAATATTAATAAAAGAAAAAGGTTTATCCCAACAAAAATGACCCTATGTGAAAAATAACTGCCCTTTAGATAACAAGATGTGCCATACTCAGTAGTAACAGCTACCATTAATCCACTGGGATAACTGGGAATCAGTCTTTGACATAACTTGAAATGGTTTTAAGCATACAGGGGACTGCTTCATATCATTATATCAAGGCATCCTAATTAGATTTTAGTTCCAGAATTTGACTTGGATACTTAAAAACCTGGAGCAGGTATTCAGAGGTGGACGTTCTTATTTACTTTGGAACAGTTTCTCTCTGCATACCCATTGTACCTGCGCTTAAGTTGTCAAAATTGCAGCAATGCGTGTTTTTCTTATTCTTTATTTGTAACTCCATAGTTTACTTTTGTTCTATCAGTCCACAGAATATTAGGGAACCCAAAGGGGTGTTATGATTTAGTTTGTCCTTTTGTGTCTTGCAATGGGTTTTAGCATTGGGACTCACCCATGGATGCTGTTTTCCCCATTATCAGGTACACTGACCTGAACTGTGGCAGTGTGGCCTTAAAAGGGTTCCTGGATGAATAATGAGTAAGGCTTTTTTGTTCTTTTAGTAATTTGGTAGGCCTCTTGATTCTGGTCAGGGGCTTCAGACTTTCATTTTCTTACAGTTGTAAATAATGGTTCTGATCATGTTTGGAGGACTCTCAGAACATAAAAAAATGGCTTTAAAACTTTTTCCTCTCATGGATGTCAGTTACTTTTCCCCCCACATCTATTCCTGAATTTCTTTAGCTCAGTTTCTAATGTGTCTCTTTTTAAAATGTTTAGGGTGACTTCCTGATTGTACAGGTAATCAGGCCTGAAAGTCTAGCCTTAATTGTGATCAGTTAATTTTTCACAGGTCAGGACTAGGGTCAAATAATTAAGTTTTTGTCTTGAGAGTCATATTTTTGTATTTAATTCTATGTCATAAATAAAACACTTTTTATTTTATTTTACTGCAGGCTATGCCACTAGTTTTTGAAAAGGAAATCACAAATTAAACTTTAGTAGATCTAAGTTTGCTGTTGTAATGTTATATTTTTCTTTCTTGTAAGACATCTTCTGGTTCATTCTGTTTTGTAGCACATTCTTGAAATCATGTTAAATATTTTTCAATCTTTCCTCCATTTGTTTTAACTCTCTTTATCTCAAGTGACATTTATCTGTTGTATTAACAAAAACAACGGACTAAATAAATCACGACAAAAGGTGATGGAAGGGGAACATTAATTTTGTTCTTGTGTGATTTGTGATACATGTTGAGAGAGACAGACATTTTTATTTTTTTTTTGTCCCTTTTCTGTCTCTTATCACGAGTCCCAGCAGGGTGGTCTAAATTTAACACCTGTATCAGCTGGAATGCCCTCTGGCCTGTTCCCCAGCTTTCATCTATACAGTACTGAGAACTCTGCTTCCTGATCATGGACAGACTTTATAAAAATAGAAGAAAGAGGATGATCTTGTCTTAGCTTGATTTACAGTATTTAAGACTCTAAATACATAACAAGTCTTCTCAATAGTCTTTGCAGAGTGTCTATTGTAGAGAAAGATTGAATTGGCTGCTGTCCCATTGATGGATAACATGGAGATTATTGTCTTCATATGTTTAATATGCCTAAAATATAAAAATATAATTAGACTTTTACTTATTTTCCATTGTTTATCTGGCAGTAAGTGTTAAGTAAAGACTAAGTATTGAATGACTTGTTTCAGCTGACTTGGGCAACCTTTTTTATTAGACCTTCACAGCGTGGTGTAATTCTCATCTGAGGAAGGCTGGGACCCAAATTGAAAACATTGAGGAGGACTTCAGAAATGGATTAAAACTCATGCTGCTCCTGGAAGTCATCTCAGGTTCGAGCACCTCATGAAAGATCCTTTTCCTCAGAGTGTGATTTTCCGATACCAGTATTTTTCTTTCATCATGTTCTGCCCGTAGGAGAGAGGTTACCTAAGCCAGATAGAGGGAAAATGCGATTTCACAAGATTGCTAATGTCAACAAAGCATTGGACTTCATCACAAGTAAAGGAGTTAAACTGGTCTCCATTGGAGCTGAAGGTACCTTCCTACTTCTTTCTCTGCATTACTTCACTGTGATGCAAGTTACAGCATGCAGTTTACCATTTGGAGCTACTGTGTGATTAAATGGGAAGAAATTATGTGCCTATTGTGAAAGACTCAGTCTTGATTATATGCTGTGAGTGTGATGATGGATCATGTTTAAAATTTTTTCAGATTTATTGATTCCCTGTAAATGTTGAGCGGAAAGCTCAATGTATATACCAAACTTAGGATTGCCTCTAAGTGGTCAATAAAACTTTTAACTGAAATAGTAAGAAAACAAGTTCAATTTAAGGAAATTTGTTTCGTTTTTCTATTGTAGAGATTGTGGATGGGAATGTAAAGATGACTCTTGGAATGATCTGGACCATCATTCTCCGCTTTGCCATTCAGGACATATCTGTGGAAGGTAGGATCATCAGTCAAAAAAGGGCAAATTTAACATTTGAGGCCATACGGATCCGACAGGTTTAAAGGTCCATTCAAAGACACCGAATTTGTTCAACAATGTTCTTCTAAGGTTATTTAATTGTAGGCAGTCCCTGGTTTACAGCTAAGAAGTACTGAGATCTAGAGAGAACATGAAGATAACTGTTTATTATCATGTTATCAGTGTAGAATTTATTTGAAAATAAGATTTCTTGTCAGTATCTTGTCTCAGTATTTTTGATAGACTGGACCTTTTTGAGGATTTTTTTTTTTCCATAAATAATTATTTTATATTCATTTTCCTTTATTAACAATATTAGTAATACTGTTATTTAAAAAAAAAAAGAAAAAAAATCTTTGGTACTTGAGCAGGTTCTCCTGGTACCATATTAGAATGGGTTTAATCATATGAAAATTACGTTTTGACCAAAGCACAAAACAGTGTAAAAAGCAAAATACTTTTACAGTGTAAGTTGGTTTGTTTGAACATCAATAGTGGGACCTTAGTGTTTCTTGTTTATTTTGAAAAGGGTCAAATTTTTATCTCATTAATTTCTTACTTACAGTCCTTAGATAGTATTGATCAAATAAAAAATACACAAAGAGGTGATTAAATAACACTTATCAGAAAATGATGTACTACTCTAATGGATGCCAGGCTTCCCATTGTAATTGTGGTTTCTGACACGTTATCTTGCGAATCAGAAGCCTTTAGTCTGGGAAGCACAGGCCTTGTCATATTTTTAGAGAAGACATCAAAACAACACTTCAAATATACCTAACTTAAACAAACAAACAAAAAAAAAGTACATTAAATTTGAGCTGTTAAAATTTCTGAACTATTATCTACTCGGACGTGATTTTGCAATGTTAGCAACAGTGAAAATAGCAGCACCTCTGTACTTCAGAGGTCCTTTTACTTTGTTATACTGATAAAAATAATCTAGCTGTAATGTGAGTAATGAAAAAATTTCTTTAATTTTGAAATTATTTTGTATCATTAGAAACCTCTGCAAAGGAAGGCCTGCTCTTGTGGTGTCAGAGAAAGACTGCCCCCTACAGGAATGTAAATGTTCAAAACTTCCATGTCAGGTGAGTTTTAAAGATTGAAATCCTGAGTTTTGTTAATGTTTTGGTTAAAGTGTTATTTTATCTTATGTATTAAACACATTAAAATATCTGTTTAACAGTTTAAATTAAATATGAGCACTAGACATTTATTTTGAGATTGACTTTGTAATGAACTTTAAAACTAAGGCATAGCATTGATAAAAAGCAGCCAAGCCGAGCTGCTGCATCATTAGAGGCTTACATCTGAACTGACTTGTTGGTTTTCTCTGCCTGTTGGCTTCTGAAGCTGGAAGGATGGCCTGGCTTTCTGCGCCCTGATTCATAGACACAGACCAGATCTCCTCGACTTCTCTAAGCTCAACAAGGTTCAGTGTGTTTCCCTGGTATTCAGGGTGTTTTGGCTGAATTCCAACTAACACACAGAGTTCCATTAAATTAACCTGTTTTACATTGTGTGAGCTGATAAAAGAAATGCAATGATGGAGGCTCAGGATTTGAGGTGTGTATCATATCTTGAATCCATTCCCTTTGCCCCTGAGCATAGAGACGCACCTTCCTGCTTGGTGGACTGTTATTACTTTGCTATTAAAAGTTTAGTTTTACAAATAATAACAAGCAGGCTACAACCTATAATAACTTGAGGTACTACAATTCAAATAATTAATATATCATGCATGCTGTTTGGCTAATAGTTTTGATGAACCCTTGTTTAATGGACGCCTCACCTTCACACAGAACGTGTTCATCCTTCATCTCACCTCAGGCCTCATTATCCTTCCTTCCCGAGTAGCATGAAGTCAAACCTTACAGTAAATCTCTGTGTTTACCCGACCAGTTGTTGCCTTCTTGTTAGGAGCTTTTATGGCTATCAGCCTAAGATATGTACATTTACGAGAAAGAGTCTCGTTAAGTCTGTGAAGAATTAATGTATAGTACTCTTTGGAGAGGATTGTATTTTCACTGAACTAAGTTTTGTTTGTGTTATAATAGATGGAAGTATTCAACTTTAAGACTGATGTTAGAAGACATACAGTAGCACTTACATACTGCAAATTTTTCTATCTATAATGTTCAAATGAAAACTTTCAATGCATTTCATTAGAGTTTTATTTGCAAAGCAAAGTGGTGGATGACTGTGAGGTGGAAGCAGAATTATATTGTAATTTTCTTACAAAAAAATGGAAAAGTGGGCCTTGTATCATGTGCTTTCGTTTTCCTGACTTCACCAAGTAAAATCCAGTTAGCATTAGATTCTATAATGTATGTGCAAATTCATCGCATTATAAAGGAAGCTGTCTTGTAGAGAATAAGAGTGGATAAACAGCATTTAGACAGGTGGGAGATAAAGTTGTGAAGGGCTTTAAAAACAATTTGAGTAGGACTGTCCAACCCGAAATTCATAAAGGAGAGGACATGGTGGTCCACTTAGAATGAGTGGGCAAGGATAGAGTTAGTCAAACTTTTTTAGGAAGCTGCAGTGATCTACATCTCAGGTGAGATAATCAAGTAGTCGTTATATCTAGTAATCTGCCTTTTATTAAAGAATAGCTTGAGAAAAGCCACTATCAAGATAAAGCCACGCATAGGAAGTCTCATTTGTGTTTACTATGATTCATGTTGCTATACAGCAAATGTGTAAAACACTTTTTTTGGTTAAATCAAATCAAAATGTAACATTTCGCCTACATACAAATAATGCGTGTCATAAAGCAAACACTGCACATTGTTCTAAGCCCACTGCCCTCAAAGCGCAGTGACACTAAAATGCTATTGGATGCTTTTCTTTAGTAGTGATAGATAGGCTGTCTGAGTGGATAGAAAGGTAGACAAATGGGATTCCCGAAGGGAACCTGTTAGAGGCAGCAACAGAGTTGAGACTGAGTCATTGGCTAAACTTTCAACATGATAATGACCCTAAAAATACAGCCAAAGCCACAGTGAAAATAGTTTAGATCAACGCAGATTCTTGTGTTAAAATGGGTCTTATCAATGTCTAGACTTAAATCCAAACAAGACCCTGTGGCAAGACCTAGAAAATAATGTTTACAGACACTCCTAATCCATTATTAAACTATTTAGCCGAGACAAAATGTACCTAACTTCCCTCTCTAAATGTGCAAAGCTAGTAAAAAAAAAAAAGAGTTTGTTTTTTTCCTTTAACAATAAGGCAGATTTGTGTTGGTTTGACACCTAAAGTCCCAATAAAATGCACTGAATTTGTAGCTGTGAAGATGTAATGTGAAAAGGGTATAAATATATATGCAAAGGTTATCAGGAGCTACATTCACTGAAATAGAGTAACTTCTCATTCTTTAAGGGAGCACATAATTACCCTTCTATTCTTTTCATTTCATTACGTTTTTTTTTCTTCCATTTTTGAAAATATGAAATGTGAAACAACTTTTACAAGTAAAAAAGTCAAATTCCCTGTTCAAGCACCAATGATTAAATTTCCCAGTGCCTAAAACAAACAGGATCTTATGCTCAGGAATGTCTGCCTACACAACTTCAAATAGCAACATTCACTTTACCCAGGCGAAGAGCGTCCTCAAATGTAAAACAGGGGAACCCCAAAGCTAGAAACCAAGAGTGGCAATTTCATTTGTTTTGGAAACAGAGGCACACGGTTTTCAGCACTCAGCTCAGTGTCGTGACATGGAGTCAATGCTAAGCATTCCCAGAAACATGAGCCATGGCGCTTGCAAAGATCAAACCGAGATTTACCTTTGGTATTGCACATGTCGTCATGCAATCTTGCCCTGTGCCAGTCCTTAAAAAGGTCACGAACGTGTTTGCTGAATAAACCATTTTGACAATAATTAGTCAAATCTTAGGTAATTATAAAAGACAAAGAGAATACCCTTAATTGGGTTGTTCAGTTTCTGCTGTTTAAATGTACTCTGTCACATTTATGCCTGTCAGTAGTGCTCATGCTGCCAGGAGACAGTTACTTTGTGAGCCATGCAGCTGTTGAGTCTGGCTCTGTGGGAACATGTTCATTAAGCTTCATTCAGCTTACTGATACAGCCCTGGTCAGACACTGACACACACAAGAAGCTCAGGGTATATCCTTTTGTCTGTTCATCTGCCTGTCCATCCCTCCATGCCACCAGTCTACCACTCTCCCTTCCAGCCGTCTTTCCGTTTTGCACTTGAATCGGTGAGCAGCTGGCTTTGTCATGTAATGTACCTCAGACCACCTGTTACCTTTATAAAAAACAGTGACAATAGCAACAGGATGATGGCATGATCTCTTTACCCCACTCCACTCTCCCCTTTGGCCCACTTACCAGCAAAGACTTTCATGTTATGGACCAGCTTAGTTACTAACTGTATGATACAGCCGAACATTGTTTAGCGGCCCTACATTAAATTCATAGAAAATACAGATGTGAACAGAATTTAAAACACTGTGTTTAAACATTAATAAAGAAAAAGTATCCAGTCAAAACCAAATATTTATATAGGGCGAATGTCGGCCTAAGAGTTGGGGAATAAAGCTTGGAATCCTGAGGTTCTGAGTTCGAGCCCCACTCCCACTGCCACTCTGGGTCTCTGAGCAAGACCCTTAACCCTCGATTTCTCCCCGGGCACCCCACAATGGCAGCCCCACAGGGGAAGGGTTAAATACAGAGGTAAATTTCTCCAATGTGAGATCAATAAAGCTCAATATCTACTTTTATAAAAGATGAATAATCCTTTGTTTTGTTTTCTTTTTAAACATTTCCTGTTTTTGGTTAGATAGCATTAGCAAAAAGCAGATTTTGTTAAATGTTAGAATTTAAAAGATCTTCTGAGAACTTTTTTTAACTTTCCAAACCTCTGTTATTGTAGATGTACTGTTTTTATTTGAAGTAAATGAAGTTACTTACTTTAAGAAAACACACAAAACCTGATGTGACAACTTCAAAGAAATCTGTAAAGATATTAGGAAAAGAGTTTTCGACCTCCAAATTACTGGATCATATTTGGGTACAATTTTTAGATACCTGAATGCATCATGTTGCATTCAGTGGTTACTTACCCTGAGTTTTAAAGTATAAAGGGCAAATGTCAACTTCTGAACAGTAGTAATTATTCTCACATTTAAATAGAAATGATTTTTGTTATCCTCACTGACCTCAAACAATAACAGTGAGAAACAAAGAGTTTTTTTTTTTTTTTTTTACATTTAAACTGTACACAGGTAATTCAGATAAATATCCTGTATTTGGCTAAACTTTAAAACAGCTCTAATTACTTTATATAGCATTCCTCTCTATAAACCTCTCTATTAACCCTTAAAGTTGTATGTTGCTCCTTTAGTTTGCCAAACTTTTGGAAAACTTCTTGGTCATAATTTTTTTGACATCTAACAAAAACCAAAAAGAATACCAATTACTAATTAAACAAAACCATTTGATACGGGATTTGAGAAACTTCTCAATCCCTCTCTTCTACACCATAACGCGTCAAAGTTGTTATCTTATCAAAAGCTTGTAGGGCTCCAAAAAAAGAAATTTAAAAACAATCCACTGGACTCTGTTTCCAAGTTTGAAGACGTTTTGCTTCCCATCCAGGAAGCTTTTTCAATTCAAAATGTCAGGAATATTGTTGAGTTGTAGGGCTCCTAAAAGCTGCTCACATTGCTCACTCTATCTCCTTAATTCTTACATGTGTGTAACAATGTAGAATTTTGTTTGCTATTTTTAGGATGATCCTCTGGGGAACCTGAACCTGGCTTTTGACATAGCCGAAAAACACCTGGACATTCCTAAAATGCTGGACGCAGAAGGTAATGTTCTCTGGAAGTGCCAACAATAAAATCCTATAACCTCTTTTTACTTAAGATCGGCTGGTCAGAGTTTTTTTGCCAATTTTTTTTGCAGCAGTTGCTCACAGGCAAATTCCTCTCCACAAGTATGTTCACGTCTGATCACTATAGCTACACAGGGTCAGGCTTAGTTTGAACATACATGTTGGAATTCCAGTCACCTGTTTTACTTTGCTTATTGTAGTGCATTCTGATTTCTCTCAAGGAATTACGATTGACAGATTTTAAATTGTTTACAATCTTTCAGCTGCAGGCAGCTATTAACTATTTTAATGTGATTCAAAAACACTGTCAAACAGTGTGAGATAGCAGCCATTCAGGGTTTTGCCATTATAAACAGAGACATTACATTAGAAAAAAAAGGCAAGGTGGTGACTTATTTAAACACCCTAATGTTTGCTTCATCAGAAACTATTGGTGCAGAAAAAAAAACTTCTAGTACAAACACAAGGGAATAATGGTACAATACACTAGAGGGTGAAACAATGTCTCAGTTGTTTGCACACTAGCAGAGTCAAGCTAGTGTGTCCTCTAACTTTATATTATTACACAAGTTCTCGAGTCATTTAATACCTCCAATAGCTCTTTGTGGTAACAGGTTAATGACCTCCTCCTGTGATAGATCAGCAGAACAACATTGGCTGGTTGACTAAACCTCTCTTTCTTATTGGGACACATTTCATTGTACACAAATGCTAAATAAAGGCATAGGAGGCAAATCCTAAAGGGCTTTGTGATGAAGGTTTACAAATTAAATAGCATCACTGTTTTTATTAATAGTTGTCCTGGGTGAAAAGGCTAACCACTATTAGAAATGAAGGCTTGTGACAGTATATGTCTTTTCCTCCTGCACCTTTTAAACACCTTTGTTACGGAACTTGTATAGACTTGAGTTTATATTAAGTGATGCATAGTTCATTAGAGTTTAAGAAAAAATTAATTTTCTAACAATCAATACTGCGCTAAATTTCTTTTTTTCTCATTTGCAAAAAGAAAACATTTTTTTTTAAAAGTCAAAATTGTGTCAATATTTAAAAGTGGCGGTTCCTTCCTTCCTTCCTTCCTTCCTTCCTTCCTTCCTTNCTTCCTTCCTTCCTTCCTTCCTTCCTTCCTTCCTTGTCCGCACTATACTAACATATATAGTTACTGCGTATTTATGTGAGTGTCTTATTTGTGTTGTCTTTGTTGTGTTTTCCAGTTGTTTATCTTTTTCTATGCCACTATTATGCCTCAGATATCATCAATACCCCCAAGCCTGATGAGAGGGCCATCATGACCTACGTGTCATGCTTTTACCACGCATTTGCTGGAGCTGAACAGGTAACAGAGGACAATCTGTCCTGTTACCACACTGTCCTTTAACATTATCCTTACAAAGACATTCCGAGAACACAGATGGGTGCACAAAAAAGCTGACAGGGCTTCCCGATCAGCTATAAAGCTGTGTGAGAAATGCTTATGTAATGTTTTTATAATCATAGATCAATGGGGGAGATGTCCTGCTTTAATTTGCAGGTTTTGATAAATTATGGTTATGGTTTGCCCACCCAGGCAGAGACAGCAGCCAACAGGATCTGCAAGGTCCTTGGTGTTAACCAAGAGAATGAGAAACTGATGGAGGAATATGAGAGACTGGCAAGTGAGGTAAAGTTTTAAAAGGATAATATGATCTTGTTTTGTACCGAGAACGTTAATGTTTCCATAAAAGTAATCTGAAGTAAAAGAATGTGGTTTAAGATAAGAAATAATAAACTTTTTTCCTACCTCTATGTTTATTGCTTTTTTGTTATTGTCTCTCATAGCTGCTGGAGTGGATCCGCCGCACCACTCCCTGGCTGGAGAACCGGACCCCTGAAAAAACCATGGCAGAGATGCAGCGGAAACTAGAGGACTTTAGGGACTACAGGCGACAACACAAACCTCCCAAAGTTCAGGAGAAGTGTCAGCTGGAGATCAACTTCAACACCCTGCAGACCAAGCTGCGCATCAGCAATCGTCCTGCTTTTATGCCTTCTGAAGGGAAGATGGTTTCTGTAAGTCACACACTCCTTCCCTGCCACATGAAGCTAATACACTCTACCAAACAAGTGTAATTTAAACAATTTTATGTTAAATAAAAAGAAGAACAAAAAATCTTCTAAACCTTGATGTGTTTTCAGGATATAGCCAGTGCCTGGCAGGGCCTGGAGCAGGCAGAGAAAGGCTTTGAGGAGTGGCTTCTGACTGAAATACGACGACTTGAGAGACTAGATCATCTCGCTGAAAAATTTCGCCAAAAAGCCACCAACCATGAGAATTGGGCTTGTGGTTAGTTCTACTTCTACTTAGTTTTTAAACTGGGTTTAAGTTTGATTTTAAGCTTCAATTTGACATGTCCATGCACCTCCTCGGGGAAAAAATACTATCAAATATAAACTCAATTCCTGAGGGATCCTCAGTTAGTTCCTTTGCTTTTAAATAAAATAAACTACAAATATCGAACGCAAACTTATAGCAACGGGAAATTATTGCTCTAAAAACATGCCTTATATGTGATTAAATGATAAATAGTATTTATATTTTTAAGACGGCAAAGTTTCCCAAGTAATTACCTGTCTAATTATGGAAATCAGTCTGCAGTTAAAAGGGGAGCTTGAAGATCTGCCTGACAAATGAGTACTTAAGAAAGAGTGGCACTTTAAATAGTAACAAAGTTTAAAACTCTATAAAGGTTAGTACGTTGGTTCTGTACAGCTAGCTGTGTCCAACACCTAGAGCAGAGGCCAGCCAAATTGCAAGTCAAAACTTTTAGGTGGAAGGAAACAGTGTGTCAGAAGTCAAAGCAAAATGCACAAAAAGATAAAAAAATGCAGAACAGAATGAGTGTAGTTGCAATCACAACGAACTTATTTAACACCTAAAAAGAAGAGAACAAGGTTCCAGAGGCCCGAGGAGAAGGAGTCATGAACTTGGTTAGGCTGAAATTAACTGAACTGAAAGTTGGATCAAAATCTAAATCCTGTATGTGCATTAGGAAAGAGGATGAGGGCCATTTCAGTGACATAAAGATAACTGTCTAAAATAAAAAAAATATACATATTAATGTATATACTCAGTGATGATACACACTACATGCAGCAGAACGTAAAAGGACTGGACAGACTACATTATTCCTCCAACAGGTGGATTTTTTTTGTTCTGTTGAAATGAGGTAAATCAACATATTCAGCTAGCACTGCACTTCACACTTGATAGATGTTTGCTTTCTTTTTTGATATGTGCAAATGCAATGCTTGATCTGGCAAAGTTGATAACTCTGCAGCTGTATGAGATTCTTTGAACCTGAGTGGTAAGGAATATTGCTTTTGCATCTGTGAATTTTGCATTGGTCTTAAAAACAACCAGAAAAAAGAAAAGATTGGGAATAACAAGCAATGGTTAGAAGTAATACTTAAGGGCTTAGAGGGTTTATGAGTCTTTGATTTTTTCTGCCAATCATCATTTAAGGGTCTACAGGTTTAAAGGTAGACTTTGCAGACTTAGATCATGCTGCTCTGTTTTTCTTTTGGAGATGCATTATTATATATTTTTCATCAAAAGTGAGGTATTCCATATTTTTTCCTGTTATATTATCCAAAAGAAGACATAAATGATAAAAGACTAACTCATTTTATGGTATGTCTTGGGGATGTCCGGTTTTTGAAATATTTTTTTGGGATATTTGTAGTTTTATTGTTAAACAGTTGACTGAACATTCTCCAAGAATATTTTCCAGGCTTTGTAGCTCTAAAACTTTATCCCTTCAACCTACTATATACAAGATCTTTGTATCTCTTCCACGGTCATAATGATCTAAATTCGACCATGTTTATTTATGTACTTATTGTTGCTCCTAATGAGATTTTATTAAAGATATAAGACTGCACGTCAGTTGTGACATATCATGTTCTCCATCTAAAATTTGTAACATTTGCCCATGTTAATATCAAACACATTGATTTCCTGGCTTCTTTAGGTAAAGAGCTGATCCTCACCCAGAAGGACTATGAGACTGCCACCTTGACAGAAGTCAGAGCGTTGCTTCGCAAACATGAGGCCTTTGAGAGTGATCTGGCAGCCCACCAAGACCGAGTGGAGCAGATTGCTGCCATTGCACAGGAACTGAAGTATGAAATCCCCACAGCACATGTTTGCACTGACAAAAGCAAAAAAAAAAAAAAAAAAAAAAAAAAAAAAAAAAAACACACACACACCACAAAGACCAAATTTATTTAGTTTCTTTATTGAGAGTTTTAGACAGGATCAAGCCAAGACTAGAAAAAAGAAAGTTCAGGAATTTCCATGACTGCCTTCAGCCTTAATTGTTTGAGACAGTTCAGGACTTTGTTGATTCAGCTTTCCTGCAACTGCTAGGTGGAAGCCTTCATTTGGTGGTCGGTACCAGTGCCCTCAGTCGAGGGGAAGCTCTCGTAGCCAACATGAGTTGCATGGTCTCCACCAACCTCGTAGTCTGTCTGGATATGAGACACTGTCCCATGAGGAAGCTGCCCAGTCAAGAATAAGTAAAATAGGTTCGGAACAACCGGTCTGCCATATGGCAGTGGCATAACACCCAAATAATCCCTTTCTGCACTGAGGGGGTAACTTGGAACAAGGCTAAAATCTTTGATTTCCTGTTCAGAGTTTCCATCTTCATAGATCGAGGCCAAGTTACTCAACTCACCACCTAGATAAAAGGATTCTGGATATTCAAGGGGTAGGGGCTCCTTTTCTAAAGGCTCAGTTTCACCCTTTGTGACACCTAGCTCTAGGCCTTTCTGTTCAGTCAAAGGTTCTTCAGACTCAAGTAAAAAGTTAAGATCAGGGGTGAATGAAAATCCTTCCATAGGTGAAGCACTGAAAGGATCAACAACAGAGCTGGATGGATCGACCTTCTGTTCTTCCATGTTGACTCCTACAGAAGAAGCAGCAGGACCTTGGGGACTTTCAAGCAGTTCTCTTTTTGGAGGCCGAACCATCCATTTTGCATTAGCATCCTCAGAGTTTGACGGCTTATCCACCTGCTCCATTTCTGGAACATTTTTAATTAAGCCAGCCAACCATTTGTCTGCAGATTTTTCTGAAACAGGAGGAGGAGGGGGAAACTTTTTGCGAAGGCCAACTCTCCAGGACAGAGAAGGCATTTCTGGATTGGAAGGGAAATAGAGTCCCACATCAGGGTCAACCAACCATGAGACTGCAGGACCATCTGGGTTTGAAGGTGGTGGAGGAAGACTTTGTTCTGTGCCAGCCACTGGTAAGGCTGCCAAGTCTTCTGGGTCTTGGGGGAGAGAAAAAGCTTCTGGGAAGCCAACATGGTCATCTGGGCTCGGAGTGGGAAAGAGCTTAATCTGGGAACCAACTTCCCATGACGTCCTAGAATTTTCAGGAACCGAAGGAGGAAGCCCTTCTGAAGTTTTAGCTGCCCATAGAACAGAAGGCCCTTCTGGGTTCAGGGGAGAGTTGGCCTGTGTGAGTGAAGGGCGTGCTTTAATAGAATGTTGCACAACTGGGTTTTTGCTTTTTGGTCTAGCAACTATCCAAGATACAGAAGATTTAGCTGGACCCTGGACAGTTTGAGTCAAGCCTTCAGCCTTAGTATTTTGGGATCCAGGGTTCACCTCTGCATTCCATCCTGTTTAGAGAAGACATGTTAAAAGATTGAGAAAGAAAAATACTACATTTAGAAGTTAAATGAAACTCACCAGATTGAGTAGGGAGAGCCCCAACACTCCAGCTAAATAAAACAACCAGGAACAACTGGCTAGAACAGGTAAAATACAAAGTCAAAACCTTAAAATGATTCAGAATAACACAGCTTTTTAAAAAAGAATAAAAAAATTATTCAGGTTACAAAACTGTCCACAAACCTTGGAAATTTCCAGGAGGCCATTTATCTTGTCTGTTGAACCTTTTCCCTTCCTTTGTCTGGACACCACTTAAATAATCAGCACAGACACTCAGTAGCCAACCTCAGACTGAGAGCTCAACAACACTCAGGTGTCTGTCATTCGCTGCTGATTGAAATCCTCAAAGGGCTGTGAGAAAGGTGCTTGCTCGACTAGATTCAATGACAAACTATACTCTAACATCTTCAGTAAGAATTGTTTACTTCAGGGTATTGATGGGTTTATGAGACGTTGTGAAGCGTTTCAGCACATTGCCAAAGGGAATTTATATTGAGTTGATACTGTGTGCTGGACCTTTAAAATCCCTACATGCAGCCTATCTGACAAAAATAACGGACACTGATTCAATGACTTAGTACAATAATATAATTGAAGTCATTCCATTTTTGATTGTATTATTTCATATCTTCTTTTGAAAATATCTCTGATATTTTTGGATGCAGTCAATAAATAATCGGAACATATATCATAACATGAAAATGTAGGTAAACACCTGAATGAGGATGTTTGTGAAGGAGGATTTTTTTCTTTCTATTAAACCAATAAATACATTAAGTTAATAGTCAATTTGAATTTAATTTAAATTCAGATGACTCAAGTGATAACTTGAGAGCAACAGAAATACAAAAGAAAAATTAAAACAATATGAGATCAAAACGGTCCCACATGGCTGAAAAATTTCTTCTGCCTTGAGGCTGCTCCATATTTCCTAATAAATTTAATAATGATTTTCCACAGATTTTGCAAATATATCCCATTGATAGATACACTTATAAACAGTTTAGTGCGTTAGTCAGTGTAAAACAGCTCCTGTATCTTCACATGACATTCTTGACACAATAAAGGCACCGACACAAGGTTGTTCTCTATGAGCTTGACGCATGCGATGATGCGTCTGTGTTGCTGCACCCATCACTACTTCAGGGTTTAAGAGCTTATGAAGAAATCATTGTTTCATAGTTCTTATAGCATGCTGGCAAGAAGCAAAAAGCAAGCATACATCAAACTGTTTTTAAAGTCTGCACCGGTTTATCTGTGGAGTTGTTTTTTGGTGGTTTTGAAATGCATTTACTTTGCAAGCCCCACAGAGCGACCAGAGATTTTTAACAAAACTAAGATAGTGGATTAAACTGGGATCTTCACCATATCCTGGCTTAATTAAGCCTTGATGAGGTTTTGACAAAAGCAGTGATATATAAAATCTACCGTAGTGATATTTTAAATTCAGATTTTTTTTTTAAACAGCCCTCTGCTGAGGGAAGTTTGGACTGTTGATTAAAATAAAAACGTTATGTTAATAGACCTAATTTTACTTAAAGATATAGTGGAGGATGTTCTTTTTCCGGGTGGATCATCTAAATAAGTGGTCCTCCTAATTGTCAGTAATTCTGGTGATAGGTTTACGTAAGGCCATCCTACTTGCTCGTCCCCATTTTACTTACCGGTACCTTCTTTTGGAAAGTAAGCTTGTATGAGTGATGCAATAAGCAACTTTTAATCAGAATGTCTTTTCAAAAGTTTGCCAAAATGCTCCACTATAGGCCTACCTTTAAACTGTGTTAAGCTTAGCTTTATTGTGACTAATTTCATTGTATCCATATGTTAGAGTTATCTACAGTTTAATTTATTGCATTTTAATTTGATCTTAGTAATTAGTATTATGTATCCTTTTCAGTGTTTTTTTTTGCCACTGTTTTAAATTCTACAATTAAAAAAAAAAAAATTACTGTATATTTGTTGTTTATTTTTAATATCTATAGTTGAATGGCGCTGGCTGTTGCACCATTCAGCTATTTTCTAATAAAAATGTATTTATGTCAACTGCATATTGTTTTTTCTGTGTGTAGCACCTTAATCAAAATAAAAACTAATTCCTCATACATCAAAAAATATATATATACTGGGTAATAAAGCATTTAAAGTTATTATTTTAATTATTTCAATAAAGTTTTCTTTATATTTGTCTCTTTTTGTTCTTTATTTCTGACTTAATTTCCTCAGTTCTAGGTCATAACAAAAAGACTAGTTGTTTTATTATTATCATCACTATTGTTGTCATGGTTTTTCTTAGTGTTTTTTTGTTGCCTGACTGGTTAATGCTTCTGATAAGAAAAACCTATAATTGTATACCCTATACCTTTTTTCATGTTGCGGTGAATAAAATTTGAAAATACCATAGGTTTTATAGCCAATAACCCATAAATATTATGAATGGGTATGTAGGATGACACTGTGCAATTACTTCCTCATTTGTATGCATAATTTGAATTTTGTGTATTAAATGATATTGTTTTTTGTTAGTTTTTTTTTTTTTTTTTACATAATTTTTTCAGTGCAAACATGTGCTGTGGGGATTTCATACTTCAGTTCCTGTGCAATGGCAGCAATCTGCTCCACTCGGTCTTGGTGGGCTGCCAGATCACT